AAGTGAGACTCATAAACATTAGGGTGCTAAGACTGCGCAGTGGGACTGGAAGTCATCTTTAAAAAGGAAAAATTATAATAAGCAATTTATAACAAAAGCTTCTTAAACTGAGAATAATGATTCTGACAGTAAACTTTCACAAAGATCTTTTATCCAGATTATGAGAGTGCATTCCACACCTTCACCTTAAAGTGCCACTAACCCCCCAATTTTTTTTTCGTTTAATAAAATCTACTAGTTTCCCTGATTACTTCAGCAAAAAACTTTACATCGATTGATGAAATCCCTGTGTTTCTACAGGCATTGGAACATGTAATTTCTATGTTCACGACCACGTAAAGTGGGATCTGGATTGTGCTAGTGGTGACGTTGCTTTGGAAACCAGGCTAAAACACTCAAGAGACTTTTGACTGAGCTTCAAATACTGTCAAAACATTTTTGCTTATTTGTGATTCCTATTTTATCAAAACTGGACAAGATTTGTAAGTGAAAGAACTGTATCATCTAGCATTACAATTTGGAGTCTAGCTACAATTTGGATGGCTGTGATGCACATATCTTAGAGACCTTTAGATCCATGTTTACCGCAAACGTCAAACTGTGGTTTGAGGTTAGACGTTTGCCATTCGCCATTCGGACGTAAACAGATTTAGATTGAAGTCAATTGGAGCAAATAGAAATCATCCTGTCAATACAGTAGAAATTGTCAAAATAACACCGAATTTGAAAAAAAAAAAAAAATGTTTTCTAACATGTGTAGTTTTCTAAAGAACTAAAGCATCATAAAACACACATTCAACTTAAGCCGCCGCCATATTGGATTTCCACTTAGGATAAGTGCCTTTCTTCAAATAACAACAAAAGGCTAGATAACTGCTTCATGCGATTTGTAGGAAAAGGGTCACATTATTCGATTTCAGCATTTGTACATGGCATAAAATACAATTCAAGGCAATAAAGCTTGTGGTAAATGACTTACGTGAAAACCTACTTTTGACGATAAAAAGGCGAGTCGAAAACCTCAAGCGTGACGTCTGGCTCTGGTCACGTGATCCCTAGCGGTTAGTTGTTCGCAGGAAACGTGAATGTACATGTAAAAGTCTCTATTTTTCCGTTTTGAAGTGCAGGTCACCGGTCAAGATAGCCGCGTTGTAATTTAGGCTAGGATTGGCAATTTGCTGGTCCATTTGGGTTATAAAGGTACAAATGATGGCTGAAGAGTTATCTTGCAGATCTTAAAGAGTTACATGTATAAAGATGTCAATGAACATGGAGAGTTGGTCATTTGACTTTACGGAACATGCAGATTTTGAGTGTCAAAACATTTTTAGATTCAAATATAAATTTGACCCGAAATACAGGTTAAAATGTGGTGGAGTTGAAGTCCACTCCTGCCTACTTCTCCAGATCAATGATTGAAAATAGTTTTAACATAATAGATAAGCAGATAAATTTGCCAATATGCAAAGGTGAGGTAACTTTTTGCTTTGTTATTGTTGACCAACCATAGTACTTGCATAGTCAGTTACTGTGTACAAGTTACACAAAAATCACAAGCTACACAGATTTGCATATTTCGTACTAGTAGATCATGGAAAATTCTTCAACAAGTCTTGAAAAGAGGTTCAGTATAGTATCAGTTAAATAAATACATTTCTACTTCACTGTCATTTTGAATGAAATGTCCATATTGTGTACACTAATAATCTGGGAGTTCTCAACTTATTAGTTTGCAGTTTGGTTGACTGACAAGTTGAAGCGCATTCTTCTTTCAGCACGACAGTCTCTAGGCTGGGTAGTTATAGAGTTGAATCTTAATTGTTTGTTTCACTTTCCTCATATATTTTTAAATGCTCAATCCATTCTGTGTTTGTAATTTAGATATATTTCATTCCTCAAAGACAAAGCTCAAATAACAGAACAATTCTGTATTGGGAATGGCCATTGCAAAACATGGCCAGATTATGACCTCCGGTGTGAGTGTGTTTTTATGAAAATCCACAAATACATAGCTAGTTGACCAGTTTGAAGCCTCAACAATCTCTATTTCAAGTACGAAAAATGTGATGCGTTTAATTTACAGTGTATTTTTCTCACCTATAGTTTCCATTATTTATTTTGGTCTGGGACTCAGAGGATTGTTTCAGTTCAGAATAGTCAGATGGCTTCCAGCCTATACCAAATTCTTGTCTTATGCAGTACCTCGACAATGTCAAGCTTTCTACCAGAAATAGAGAAGAATATACAGGCCATGAAAATCTCTAGGTTTTTACATTAGTGGCAAACCCAAGATTGAAGAAATCCTCAATGGCTCCCCAGCCTTAGCTTTGCACAAATCAGCCCACTTCTTTGGTCTTTTCCTCATTTCTGGTTGAATTTCATCATCGATAGAGGTATTGAATGAAGAGGAATACTCTATCCCACACATCCTGTATTGCTACAGCCTCCAACAACACATCTTCCTTGCATTCTGCAACGATTTTGACACAAACTATTGCATGTTCGCATATATTCTTCTCAGAAACAAACTATTGTTATTCCTGAAGCGACGTCAGAAGCCAACTCGTCCCACTCTCTGCTATTCCTCGGTTGTGAACATGGAAAAGGGCAATTTTACAAACTTTGAAAATTCATACAATATAAACAAAAATAGCTACAACGATATAATTTTTTTGCAGTGGTGATCAGGAGAAAAAGGAAATTTATATTAGCAATTGTAAAAAAAATTGGGGTTTGTGGCACTTTAAACCTTGAATGATTTCATTAGCTGCATGCTTTAAACCACAGTCTATTACTTAAATCAAAAAATTTGTTATCAACAACCAAGGTTTTACACTAACAGACAAGTATAACATAACAACATGGTTTTTTAGTTAGCAACAGCTGTTATTGCAGTTGAGTCTGCGGTCAAATATTCTTTTGTTTTAAAAGGCATGCAAACGAGGCGAAAGGGTCAATACAATGCAGAATTGACCCTTTCGCCTTGTTTGTTTGTCAAGCCAGTGATAACTGTAATAACAGCTATTAGAGGTCCCCCTATAAACTATGATTTGTTGATAATTATGTTGTGTGTTAATGCCAGTTTCTGTAGTCTCCCAAGTTTAATAGAACTAAAATATTTATGTTTGCCTGCAAATTTTATGCTTATCGTTTTCACATTTGCTTGTGGTGTTTAAGCATGAAAGCTAATTTGTAAAGTATATGTTTTACATCCATAATAGACCCTTTGTAGCTAAGCCATTAATAAGTGACCTACCTTTCATAATATTATGGGCTATAACTTACAGAATAGCGGAAGTGGAAAAAGCCTGTTGAAAATTGCAAAATGGCCAAGTTTTAGGCCCCTGGAATTACAAAGAGTGAGCATTTATGATGGTTTGGACTTTTAAAAAAATTAAGAAGATTTGTATGGAAAAAGTTGTTGGAGAGTAAGACCTTGCTCTCCAGCAACAGTTTCCATAGAATCGATATCCTCTAAATTTTCTGAAAATTCAAACTGTTGTAAAAACTTACTCTTTAAAGCCAGGGGCCTCAAACTTGGCCATTTTGGTATTTTCAATGTGCTTTTTCCATTTCTGGCATTCTTTAAGTTATAGCCCAAAATATAATTTTTTTTAAGGAAATATGTGGTCATGTGACCCTAGGTGCAAAGGGCCTATTCTAAGCTTGAAGCACAAGTTCATAGTACCATGGGCAAGCAGGAAAATTTTCTCAAGCCCATTCAACATTCTTTCCTCCTCAACCGTTTTAGTTGTCATTTTGGAGAATTTTCCCCCTCCTACCCCCCAACAATATTCTAAATAATTTGACTTCCATTATTTTAATGTGATGTTTTCATTGATCGGCATTAAATTTACACAACTGATTAATTGATTGATTGCTTGCTTGAACATTGTGAGCATAATGTTACATATTCTTAACAGTACATTGCTTATTAAAGCAGTGCTCCAAATAACAGAGGGGTTTCAGGTCAATGACCCGGTAGTGACAGCTACTTGACCCGGCAAATGAATTAGAAAATTATATATTTGATTTGAGTGTATTACATGTATAACAATGAAAGATAATAATCTTTCATTGATAATGTAAAAATAGTATAAAAATAGTCAGATATAATTATTCCAGATCAAGAACGAAATTACAGAAATTAAATCTAATTCTGAAGACAAACAAGGCTGTTCACCAGTGGCTCCGCTCACTTAAGGCCATTTTCTTTTGCTTTCGGGCACCGAGGCAACTTCCTTTTAATTTTTTTGCTTTTTGATGAAAACACCCACTTTCTTTGTTTTGTGTTGTATTGAAGTTTACATGGTAAAATTTTTCACATCAAAATAGTCAAAACATCATTAAGTCTAGCTTTAAATGCTTCAATCATTTCTTCATGTATGATTTAACATAAGCCTGTACAAAATACAGACAGCAGTTTCCTCTTGTAATTCATGTAGTGTCAACAAAGTGTCTTCTTAAGTTCTTGCACCTTGTATATTGTACAGAAAAAGTCTATAATAAAAGAAGATTGTCTGGTGCATTATGAAAAGGACACAAGGGAAGAGAGCAGCATTTTTCTATATCTGTCTGAACCAGTTTGACATTTTTTTGGACTACAAAAGCCCAGTGTTAATGATAGGACTACTGATAATAAGTTTTGCCAAGAATCAAACTGAAGGCCTTAACCTTTAGTCTTTGACATCTGTAAATAATAAAATCAGAAATGACTTTACAGGAATTGGTCTATTTGAAGGTCAATATTTATTGATATTTATTGATTGACCATTTAGTAATAAATCATTAGATAATTTGAACTGATTTTCATGTTTGGTCTCTCCCAAATGCTATATGAAGGAATGAATGCTTTATTTAACGTGGATATACGCTTAGGTTGAGAGCTAGCTTACAGGTATTTCACCTTATAACTAATGAGAACCTAACAACTAAACAACGCTAATATCACAGTTCATTAGGTAAAAATTACAAATTAAATACTGATTAAAACTATTCAAAACTATTATTACAATATTACCGCCGCAGTCAAGATACTATTAAAACTAATGTCACAAATTTACTAATCCCCGAAATTTAGCGATCTAATTCTGTTTACTATTTCATTGGTGCCTACTTTTATTCTAATGTCATTTGATAGTTCATTCCATTTCTGGGCTGCAAAATATCTCCATGACTTGAGTCCATATTTGGTGGTGTTAACTTTAGGTAAAGATAAAACATATTCTTGGTGCCTGAGATTGTACTTAAATGGGCGTAAATTAATAAGTTTCCTAATTGCCCATGGTGCTTTGTTTGATATGCTGTTATGTATTGTCAATAACATGTCTTGAATTCTTCGAGATTCCATGGAGGGTAGTCTTATCCTGTTCAAGAGATGCTGACAGGATGCATGTTTATCATTATAGACATATCTCAACGCCCTTTCATCGGCTTTTTCGATTTTTGTAGTGTTTCTTTTTATGGTAGTATGAACGAATGATATAACGATTCCTTGGTTTTGAGTGGTAAAATGTTTTTTAGTCTATTAAGGGCGTTTATTTGAGCACTCACTTTGTGGCAAATACTCGATACATGATCATCAAATTTTAGCTTACTGTCAAGTACAACCCCCAAGAGGTTAGTCTTTTCTGTGGTCCTAATATCATTATTACCCAATTTAAGGAGTAGCTGTTCTTCTGTTCTGCCAAGGACCATAGCCTGGTACTTTTCCGGATTTGGTTTCATGCCATTTTGAATGAACCATGTAGTTGCGTTCTCAAGATCACTATTTAGGTTGGAGTGCCCTTCCCTTCAGAAAGGGGTGACCTCCCTCCCTGGTCTCCTTCCATGGTCCTACAACATGACCAGATGGACAACAGCCATCTTTAGGGACCCACCTGATAAATGGTGTGACCCCTTGTTCTAAATACTTAACTGGAACACTGTTTAAGTGTCTGAATTACTTATCAGGTAAAACATGAAGCACGTGAACATAAAGTGACAGGTGTGGAGTACTGAAAGGCCAGTGGAAGACATCAGATAAAGCTATTAAAAAGGTAATTTTGTGTGTATATATGAGAGTTAGCAACTCTCCATGGCAGCTACACAGGGTTGTCGCCAAGCACCAGTTGCTGGCAAAATTTGCCAGCTGAGAAAGAGGTGATCGCTGGCTGGATTTTGGAGGGCGATCATTCACTAAAGAACAATGAATGGTTTTAGGTTACGCACATACAATCATTCAATATCTGAACTATTTCAAACCATCTAAATGGAAAATTTGGAATAAATTCCTGACTACCTTGGGTATCGGTGCCACTATAACGAGTAAAGTAATTGAATCTTCTTTTCAGCACTTGTTTAGCATGTTCTCTTTCCACGTATTCTGTGTCCACCATCCTGTAAACACAAAGCTTGGTAGCCCCTCATTCAAGATGTTGCAAAAGATTGGGGAAGAAAATTTTGTTCCAGGTCTCTTGCAAAAATTTAATTGGTGACCGGCTCCAGGAGACTACTTTCTTAGCTACAACTCTGGCTACAAGTATGTGTACATGAAGTATTGGTTGGAATTATTTTTGTTAAGAATTGATGAATGGATTTTCAGTTTCAGTTTCAGTTTTTTTATTATTGCACACTATTTACAGAAAAACAACTTAGCATAAGATAATCCAGTGTTCTTTTGAATGAGTCCACTTTTGTATTTAGTCAACTCAATTTTTCAACATAACACCGTTATTAAACATAACATGGTTATCTTAGTGTACAGTTCTGTAGAATTGTCAGGACTTATCTTGATGTAAGCATTGAATGTTGTCCTTCAGTAGCATCATTCGATGTTCTTAGACTAGTGTTCCTTCAAGTGGGTTGTTAAACTACTGTATTTAGTCAAGTTAAGTCTGAATGATGCCATGGATCGGCAAAAGGTTGAAAAATTGGGTTGACTAAATACAGTAGTGGACTCTTTCAAAAGAACACTGGATTATCTTGGTGTGTTGAGAAGGTTGAATGATGAGCTTGGTTACCTAGAGAATGCAACATGTTATGTGTTTCTGGAAAAATGCAAAGAAAGCTTTTTTTAAATTTATTTATTTATTTATTTATTTATTATTGCAACACTTACAACACTACTTACATACTTACACTTACAGTTACTTACAGTTTGTTAGCATGAAAAAGTATTTTTCAAAATGTGTCCAAAATATATTCGAGAAAGAGCAATGAAAAAAAAGGTGGTCTAATGTTTCTGATTCATTGCCACAAAAGGTACATTTGTCATGCTGACTATAACCAATTTTAAATAATTTCTTGTTTGTATACAGAATGGAATTTAAAATTTTATATTGAAAGGCTTTCACATAAGGTTCATAAGCAACCTTATGGGGAAGGGTGAAAGCAAGTTTCAACTCCTCCTCAGTTAAGTTAAAATTTTGTCTTAGTTTCTAAACATCGTTTGGAAGCTGAGCTTTCCTACTTAACATTGTTACACTTAAAATAGGGAAGGCACCTATCGAGCCTATGCTCGGCTGTTTTTAAGTTGGACGGTATAGAGTGTCTTAGACCAGTCCGTGTAAGAAAATTGGCCTTTTTATTTTTTCCCTTATTATGTCAAAGGAATCAATGTTGTTTAGATTTAATAACAAATCGTTGACAGTGCAGATTGCGGAGTTGTAATAAGTTTTGTAAAAAAAAGGTTTTCCATTAATTCTAAAGTCTTTATTATTCCAAATCATAGAAAGCCAGTATTTCTCTTCAAAGAAGTGATCTCGAAATTCTGACCACCAAACCACAAATTCTCTATAGAGAGTTGAGATTGTTGGAAGGTCTTTTATCGTATAATTGCCCTCAAAGATTAAAAGATCTCCAAGTTGTTTTAGGAGATGTATTAAATAGAACTTCCATGTACTGTCATTATTATTAGATATTCTTTTCAACCAAGCCAGTCTTAAGGCCTTAATCAATGTCTATCATTTTTATACCACCTTCTTTGAGAGTGTTTATGGCTGAAAGCCTTGTCGTCTTATCTTTCCCTTTCCATAAAAAGGTGAAAATTATGTGGTTCACTTGTTTTATAATGTTTGATGGACTTGGTAGTAATGAGGACAGGTAGACTAATTTGGGGATTAGCAGAGATTTAATTATAGTAACTTTGCCATAAATGGATAGCCCTCTAGAAGACCAAATATTTGTTAGCTTCTTCATATTATCAAGTTTGTCTTGGAATTTTTTTTCATAAAGTAGTGATTGGTCGTATGTAAAGAATACCCCTAGAGCTTTGATGGGTTCACTTTGCCAATTTATGCCAAGTGGTTTTTCATCATTGTTCTTTTGAGACCCAACCCATATACCTTCTGTTTTTGAACTGTTTATTTCAAGTCCACATAAATTTTAAAAACGATCTAGTTTTTGAAATAGAGTGTTTGCTGAGTCAAAATTTGATAGCACCACAGTGGTATCATCTGCATATTGTAAAACTTTTGTTTCATTGCTGCCTATTTTAATTGCCTCGATTTCTGGATTTTTGCAAATAGACATTGCCAAGGTTTCGATGACTAAGAGAAAGAGATATGGAGAGAGGGTCACCCTGTCTCACACCTCGTGCAAGGGTGAAATAATCTGATGTTGAGCCATTATTTATAATGCAGCTCTCAATGTTGCAATAAAAGGTTTTGACCCAGTTAATTAAGTTGGGCCCAAAATTGAAGGCCTTAAGACAGTCAAAAAGATAGTGCCATTCTACAGTGTTGAGCGCTTTCTTAAAACCAATAAAAATCAAAGTACCGGGAATGTTTTCATTGTCTGTAAATTCCATAATGTTAAAAAATCGATCTTACCGTTTCTCCAATGTAGCGATCTTATTAATATTTGGCAAAACATTTTTAACCCTAACTGTGATTACTTTTGAAATGATTTTAGCATCAACATTAATAAGAGATATAGGTCTCCAATTTTCTATCAGTGTTCGATCTTTACCTTGTTTCTCAATTAAAGTAATAACTGCCTTTCTTTGTGAGTGGGACATTTCTCCATATTTTTTAAAGGACTCTTGTACACATTCCATAAAGGATTCGCTATTTAAGTTCCAGCAGATTTTATAAAATTCTATCGGTAATCCGTTATTGCCAGGTGATTTGTTGTTTTGGAAGCTGTTTAAAACAGACTCCAATTCCTCAAGGGATATTTCACCTTCGCAGGATTGCTTTTGTTCCTCTGATAATGTTGGCATATTTAAATTGCCCAAAAACGCTTCACTAATTTTGCTTTTAATGTCATTAAATTGCGATTCACACAAACTGTCATAAAAGCATTTCTGTTCTTCAAGTATTTTGTAAGGATCAGTTGTAATAACTCTGCTTATGCACAATTTTCTGATATGCTTTTTAACACTATTTCGTTTTTCTAAATTTAGAAAGTACTTTGAACTTCTCCCTCCATGTTCATGCCAACGAGCTCTTGCGGGAATTATACCTCTCGTTTTTTCCTCATAAAAATGTTCAAGAAAATATGCAATGAAAATATGCAAATAAAGCTGCTGTTAAAATTGATCACTCTTATTAGTACTGAACAGCATTTTTAATGCTATTTTCATGTTGCATGTACATGTAAACTTCTACTCAAAAGTAAACAGCAACTGATAGATCTCTCATATATTCACTTCTTTGCCATCTACAGGTTTATTACAAACTCGCAACTGACATGACCAGCTCCCAGTTGGCTTGATAGCTCAGTTAGTAGAGCACTGCACCAGTATCACAGAGGTCATGGGTTCGAAGCCCATTCAAGCCTGAATGTTTTTTTCAGGCTTTAATTTCACAACTGCTTAAGTTGTGTATACTAAACTGCGATGCATGATCAGTCATGTCTTGATAGGTCTTTCACTGAAAATTTCAAATTATCTGTGATAATTTTGAAATTATGAGGCAAACAAGAAGCAAACAACAACATCAGACAACTACGATCAATAGAGGAGACAGATACAGCTAGATCAGGACAGTTTATTGTTCTGGTATCTGCAATGGTGTTCAAAAGTGTACCTGCACTAGTATATCATACTAGTCTTATTAATTGTTATTCCATTAGTTAAATTTACGCTTAAGTATACCAACTGTAAAAAATGGTAAGTAACTCAACAATATGTTTGTATCTCTTATCAGCACAAACGTAACATGAAACACATAAACACCAAAAAATCAGTGGAGGAAGTGAAATACATCAGACAATTGGCAGGTCAGTCAAATTTTTTCTTTATCTGTAGTCAGTGGACAAGTGTATCACCAGGGGTTTCATTGACATTTTCAGCAGGAGGACAGCTGTTCAGTTTTATAGGCAGGCAAAACGTTTTAAACTGAACTTCCTTATAAACCAGGCAGGCAAAATCATCCTCACAGCCGGTCAATTTGGCCAGTGCCTGGCCGTTAATGAAATCTCTGGTATCACTAAAATTTTAATCACTTTCAAGAACACTGGTACAGTTTACCATTATAGGATTGAATTCAGTCTTGAGAAATTTGGTTGAATGACACTTGTTGGTGTCAAGATAATTTGGGAACATCCGTGCCTTTTATTGATTAGACAAAAAGAGTTTGAAGTTCTTTGTTTTTTTTTTTTGTTGTTTAAGGATTTGTCAACTGAAAGTGGTGCTTCTTCATCTAACTACAAGCAATTTGAAATGTATAGAACTTGTCAATTTTTCATTACATAATGTTGTTGCACAAATTATCCTCTTTAAGGTAAAATGTTTTGCAAAAATTGTTCATGACCAGATA